AATAGATTTTTTTGAGCAGTTTCTTGTTAAAATGCCCAGTCTAATGGGGAGAGGGTGGCAAAATAACTGTGAAGGGCAGTGTAATGATTCCTTGTTTTACTGTGTGTGTGTTCCTTTAAATGTTTGGTTGGAGTGCAGTGTTAGTAGAGTGATTGAGACAATTGTGTTGTGATTGGATGATGACTGAGAGTGGGAGGAGTTGTTTGAAGTGAAAGTGTGTGTCTTAAAGTCCATTTGAGTGAATCTGAGTAGAGAAATCAGTTAGTGAGTCTGAGAGTGAGTGAAATGACTCAGTTCTGTGTGGAGATTTAAAGAATTCAATATATATGTCTTTACAAATTTAAGTGTGGAAGAGATATGAGAAGGGTCTGTGAGACTCCAAAGTTATAAAAGAGAATTAATACAAAGAGCTTTGCCAGTGTGGCTACCCAGTGAAAGAGTGATTCCTGTCAGAGAGGGATCTTATGATCAAAAGACTGTGTGATACCTTGCCAGTTTATTTTACCAGTTTCTCTTCCCCAAAACAGTTAAAGTTAACCAGCAATTTATTTTTGTTCCTTAATCAATAAATCATTTTTTTTTTTAGTTTAAACCAGAATTCAGTTCCATTCTTCCTCAGGGCCACGTAGACCTTTGAAAGCCCAGACCCTGGGTCACATTACCAACAGCAAAAACAGAGAGAAGATTTGAAATTTCTTAAAATTCCTGGTGGCAGCAGAAACTACCCAGTTTATAAACACAGAGTATAACTTTAAAGTGAAAACAGTCCCCCCAAATAAGCAGTGCGTCACAGGCAGCATTTAATTTTATGCTTGTGGACAAAAATGCACTCCACACTAAAATCCAATGCCAATAGGGTTCCCAAGTCCAAAATACTCACCGGCGGGGGGGGGCGTGCCCGCCCCACGCGTCCCCAGATGCGCGGCGCCGCCAGCACATCACAGGAAGTGACGTGCAACGTCAACCACGTTGAGGGCATGGCCACGATCGAGGGAGGGAAAACCATAGAGTTTTCCCTCCTTGATCCGGACCACGCCCCCAACGTGGTCGACGTGCACGTCACTTCCTGTGATGCTGCGCTTCGGGGGTGGAGTTCCCCCTGGGGCCCGATTCCGCGACGGCGGAAATCGGGTTTCCAAAGCGGGGGTTTACCCGCCACCCGCCCCCACTTGGCAGCCCTAAATGCCAAGATATATCCAAAACCAAAATTTTACACCTCAGAATGAATATTCTGAAAAAGGATTTGTTATATAAATTCAAAGGCCACAGATCAAAATAAAACTCCTGTTTGAGCCTCCAAGAACCACAATAATATAGGAAAGTCCAGGCTTTCAGAAAGTTGAATCTTATAAGGTACCCAGTGTGGTACCCATGGGCACAATGGCACCTGTTGACACCTTTCTTGGCGGCCACCAAGTCTTTTTAGAAAGTTGGTAGGGCCAGGTGGGACTTTTGCCCAGCAGCTGATTGACCCTTAGAGATTTGGTTGGCTGTGCACATTTTTTAAAACTGCTTTGGTAGCAGCTACCACAACAGCACATGGGTTGTGTCATTGAAGATAAGCTGTTTGTATCCAAGAAAACATTTTAGACAATATGTTCATGTTAAAAGACATCCTGTTAAAAGACTTCTGCCTGAAATGCTGAAGAGTTACTACTACAGTTATGCATGCTCTAACTCCCTGACATTTTGTGGTTGTACCCATAACCCTGTGTTAGAATTCCAAAGGTTCCAGAAAGTTCTGAAAGGTTGGGGACCCCTAATTTAGAGCAAGGCCTTCTGAATAATGGTGTCACAGCTGTGAAGCACGCACTCTAGCGGGATCCACCAACCTCATTGTTCTATTTCAGATAGTTGTGAATTATTCCTTTCTCATGGATTCGAAAGATAAATATTAATCCTCCTGTGCTTGAGTTTGTCATTTATTTTTTATTTTCACTGATCTTGTACATGATCTTTAGTATTTTATAGAAACAATAATTAAAACTTGACCCAGTTGAGCACATGGAGGATAGCTTCATCAAAACCATGATGACTAAAAGGAACCTTCATGAACAGAGACAGCAAAAGTTAAAATACCCATGCTAGGAGACAGCATCAGGAGAAGGCCTTGGTCTAAACACCCAGTGGGGTGTTCATCAATGGCAACTACTTGCTCACCATGAGAAACAGGACGCTGGACCAGATGGACCATTGGTCTGATATGGCAGGGCTCTTCTTATGTTCTTGTGGTTTAATGTGTATGTGAAAGTCTGCTTGGGTGGAGAGGAAAGTCTATATCCAGTGACTAAAACACATGCAGAACCCTATGCTTTGCATCACAGAGATTCCTACAACCAAATCATGTGCACCTATGCCTGTTTATCCATAGATAAGGCAATCTGTGCACAGCCTTAAAGTTGGAAGTGGTCCTGTAGGCCATCTTTTCCAGCCCAATTCCCAACAGATGGCTGTTCAACTTTTCCTTGAAAACCTCCAATAAGGAGGAGCTCCCAACCCCCAGCAATTGGTTTCATTGTCTCCCCACTGCAACTGCTAGGAAGTCTCTTCTAATGTTAAATCAAAGTCCCCCCCTCCTGTAATTTAAGCCTGTTAGAACTGGTCCATCTTCTGAAGTAACAGAGAACAAGTCTTTACCTACTTCTTTGTTGATATTTAAAAAGTATGATCATATGTCCTCTCAGTATTCCCTTCTCCAAGCTAAAGGAACTCACCCAGTTCCTTCAGCTTTTCCTTGGTGGACTTGTTTTCCAGTCCCCTGACTATCTTTGAATCCATTCCAATCAGTCTAAATGTTATATATTTATTAATTAAAATATTTATATCCTGCCTTTTGTCTTGGTTATAGCTTCATAAAGTGCAGCACACAGAACTGGACATAATACTGCAGATGACGTCTGAGTAGCACTATTGGAACTATTGGTTCTCATTACTTGAATACTATGCATCTGTTAATACAGCTGTGATGGACTGTCAAAGGTTAATGCCTCACAGAGTCAGAGAACCTTTGAGTGACAGGCTGTTCAAATGGATTTCTGTAGAGAGCTTCAGTTAAGAAATGACAGTTGGGAACTGACAGCTGAAGAGGGGAGTGGGAAGGAGGCTCAAAGAGGAGTGGGAGGATCATGGAAGATGCCTATTCAAGCCAGAAAAGGGTTTTA